GAGCCGCCAAAGGAACACGCTGGGCCCTCTTCAAAGAGCGTACCAGCGGTATCCTTCGGTGCTCCTCCCGACAACCGGATGTTGATCACTGCGTCGGAGGGAGAGCTCTCTGGAGAGGAAGATTCGGCTGTGATCACAGCAATAAATTACATTTTAACAGATATTCACACAGAAAACAGTATTTTAAATAATATTGTACAATATTACTGTTTTTGAGGTTTGTATTTGTATTGTTGATCAAATGAATGGATCAAAAATACAGAAAAAATGTATATTGTAAAATATCAGCCTTGGTGAGCTGAAGAGAGGGCTTTCAAAAACATTTAATATAATTATGATTCCTATATTTAGATATATTTATAATAACAATAATAATAATAATAATAATAAGCAAAAGTGAAATAACATACATTTTATTTTTATTTATTTATTTTTACTTGTATTAATAAAACGAGAAAAAAAATTATTTAATAATTGTTTTATTTATTTTAAAAAATCCAATGAATCAACTCTTAGTTTTGACATACATGTAAACCATGTAATCCTTCTCTGGACCAGGATACACTCATTACGTTCAAACCCTTGTCATTGTGAAATCCTCATACGCAGACGAACTGCAAATAATCAGAGCAAACACTGAAGATTTGCCAAACTTGAGAATGTTCTGAGAATGTATGCATAACTCCAGCTATCCGGAACTTTTCCTCAAACCAGTTTGAAGTTAAACTAGCATGACTCACACAGTCCTTCAAAGAAGGATGTTTATATTTGAAAAGAAAAGGAAATTTGGCCTCACACAACATACCCGCACAATAATATCACCATTCCTCACACTCCAAATAATGCGGAACCACCTGAGTTTGTGCTCACACGATCCGCCTTCTCGTGGGTTTCGGTGTAACCCTCCCCCAAGGAACGGCTTCTAATTGCATCTTTGAGATGACAGAATTTGCCGCGCTCTTTGGCTCAGTTGGAAATTAGATCCCGCAGGTGCAGCGCTGTAATGAGCGTGGGGAATTCCTCTCACTAACCCCCTCCTCCAACCTCCCTGCTTTGCGACAAGGTTATTCATTTGTTTCAGGCCATTCATCGCATGTACACGTACACGTAACCCCACCGTACTGCATGCGCTCGCAACCATTGTAGAACACATGCTAGTTAATTACTGCAACAACCTGAATACTCACATACTGTAGAATAACCATCTAAAAGTTCACTAACGCGCACAGACATTTATTTTTGTTTGAAAGTCAATGTATCAACAGATTCATTACGTTTTTTTGCCCCCCATTCAGGCATCCTCAATGCTGCGGGCATCGGTCGCACCTCAGTAAGTTTTTTTTTTTTTTTTTTTATTGATGAAAAGATTAGAAAATCTCATCTCGCCAGTAGTAGCAGGTATGTCTGATAAACATTTCATAACTTGACGTAATTCAGGGATTTTCACATTTGATTGATTGATTGACTGATTTTTTTAATACCAAGGACCCCTGAATATCTTATAAGGCGAAAAGATTAGAAAATCTCATCTCGCCAGTAGTAGCAGGTATGTCTGATAAACATTTCATAACTTGACGTAATTCAGGGATTTTCACATTTGATTGATTGATTGACTGATTTTTTTAATACCAAGGACCCCTGAATATCTTATAAGGCCAGTTATTTATATTGTGTGGGGGGAAAAAAAATCAGAAACCAGGGTGAAACTAATGTTTGTTGTAAATTTTGTAAACATATTTAATTAATATCTTAAGTAGTGTGTTAACTTTGCATCTTGTACTTGTCAGATCATTCAAATGTAATTCTATAAATGCAATAAAGCCAGATTATGGAAACATGTGATGTTCCCAGAGATGGAAAGATTCCCATCAGTAACCTGAAGAGCCAGATCTCATGTGCTGATTCATCTTCCTTTCATTTCCTGCTCTCAGGTGGCCCAAAGATGTGCCGTTGTTGCCTTCTCTTGACTACGAGAAGCTGAAGAAAGATCTAGCGAATGGATCAGATCGACTGAAGGCTTTGCTGCTTCAAGCTTTGCGCTGGGTAACTCAGAATTACCGTCAGTAAACTAAAAACATCACTGATGTATCCCGTCTTTTCTGACAAAATATCACAATTTAAAAAAAAAAAAAAGGTCAAGATTCACTGGTAATATTGGTCAGACATGCTAAAAACTGCATGGTCAAAATTCAGTTGTGATTCCTTTAAACTTAAGAGTTTGTAGGAGGTATTTTGTTGTTTTATCTCCATCTTTGAGATATTTTCCGCCCTTTGGAATACACAATGAGAAACAAATTGGTTTTCACATTACATGGCAATTTTCTTGTAATTTCCCAGAGGTTAACTAGATCTCTACATGGTGAGCAAAGGGACACGGTTTTACAAGCCTTCATCAGCAATGATCTTCTGGAGCACTACAGTTCCAAACAGGTACATTACAAAACCCTTGTTGGGAAATTATATTTAAATTAATATGAAAATTTCAATTTCAATTTTACAGTTTGAAAATACTATTTAAAATAGCTTTATATTAAAATATTATGGGCCAGATTTACTAACAGCTTGCGTCAGCGCAAACTGTCTTTTGGCGTTAAAATAGTACTGTCAGGATTTACTAAAGACATGCAGTGAAGAATTGGCGCTGAAAAGGCGACAGTTATTTTTGCACCTGACTGTACTGAATATGTATTTATAGGAGTTTCCCTTTCAGATGCAACATTTACGGGAGGAGAGTATTAAAATAAATCATGCAAAGCGATTTACCAACATTTGCGCTCGTCAAATTACTGGTAATTGCGCCATTATTTAATGCCCAAAAAAAGCATGTCTTATAGCAGGTGGTAATTTGCGCTGCTCTTGGTAGATTGCGCTGGTCATTATGGAAATTATCTGGCTGTGTCTGTGTTCTTTCATGTGCGCATTGTTAGTAAATCACATGCAGAATTTTCCCCTGCCATGTGCGCTTTTATGGAATTGCGCTCTAACGCTAATTTGCCCTGTTTAGTAAATCTGGCCCTATATATCAAGGCACTGATATGACCTTGCAGGACATGGTATTTAGCTATCTTGACACATTGTTTTCAACACTTAGATTGCCATGTGCTGCATCTATACAATTATGTAAAGCTTTCAATTTTGTTGTGCTTATCGATGCAAAAAAATCTCTGTTTCTTTTATGTGGAGACATCACGCTGTCGACTGGGCTGAATAAATAAACATCGAGCTTCACATAAAAATATAAAAATTTTAGCCTATTGTCCACATGGACTCAATGATTGGTCGATTTTTTAAAATATATTGTAGGATATTTTAAGATAGTATGCAAATGTATAAACTGTTTTGAAAATGGACCCTTGCATTTCTATCAAGATTTTGATACATTTTTGTTTTGTGGTTCACAATGAGTGCACTTACACCACAACAATTAAAACACTTAAAAATAATTTGTATTGATCTATGACCTACTTCATTTCTAAAATGTGTTTACCAACAGTCTGTCTAAAGTATTTAGGATGAAGCTGAATGTGGATGATCAGGTTTCAGCACATTATGTGACATCTTGACTCATAGTTTCCAATCATTGTCAACAAGTTTCTTAGGGCAATCGAGTCATATAATAGCATACATGCTTTTAGCTCACTTTTCAATCTTTGTTCAGGCTGAATGACAATATCTCATGTTACTAAAATCCAGAATAAACTTGGAAGGCAGACAAAGTAGTCCTTTTCACATTAAGGAACAACTAATTGGACCAAAAGCCATATGAAAAAGCAAGAAGGAGAAAAAAAACAGTCAGTTTTTGCCTAACCAGTTGTGTTTCCTTTACAGAAAACTGTTCTTAATCTGATGAAATCCAAAAATGAGATTGTCAGACAGTATATGGCACGACTCATCAATGCTTTTGCCTCTTTGTGTGATGGTAAGTGAAAATGATTCATCACAAAATGTCTTCGCTTCAAGCAGAGAAGTTTTGTTTTGTTTGTTCCAATTTTCTTACTTTTTTCTTCCTTAAACCAGTTTGCACATCAGAGAGTGTAAAAAACTTGGCAAGTCCTAAATCCCCAACTCACTGATCATAAACACACTTCCCTCCAACGCTCTAGGTGGCGCTATAATGTGCAAAAAAAAATATTTTTTTTAATTTAGATTCTGATCCTGTATCAATTGTGAATGTGGATTTATATGTCCAGCTCGAACATTTTGAGGGCATTTGCCATTTTATGAAAAACATTATTTTTAAACTTAAAGTGTGGTAACATTAACCGTTGTTCTGTGAATTTTCACAGGCTAAATCTATTTATTTCAATAGGAATTCTCGCAACTCCACACAAGTTCAAGTTGGTCATGCGGATTGGTTGCGTTGATTGCTACACTACATTCATTGCATTGATCACTATATTCGCTACGCTATTCAAAGTAGCCAGAGAAGCTTTTTTGCTTGAAAAATTTTGCTGAAAATTTCGCTAATGTGTCCTTTTTGTGTGTAAGGGACTGTAAACAAACTTAGCAGGATGGTTCCAGATTCCACCGCTAATTATACACTTACACACACACACACACACACACACACACACACACACATCACTCCAGTGCTCTAGATGGCACTATAGTACACAAAGTTGTTGCATAACTGCATGGGCTAAAATCTAAATTCTGACCCTGAATCAACCGAGCATGTGGATTTATATTTCCACCTATTATTTAAGTTTCACAAAAAATGCTAATGTGACCTTTATGTATATCAGTGACTGTAAACAGGGACACGCGTGTTTTTTGCATAACTTCTGAACTGGATGGGCTAGAATCAAAATCCTGATCCTGAACCAGTTGAGCATGTGTGGATTTATATTTTTTCACCTTGATTTTGTTGGCCATTTGGCATTTTATAATAAAAACTACCTTTTCAAACTTTTTTTTCTTTGACCATGGCCCAAACTGATTAATTGATGTTGATTTTGAGCAAAATTGAATTAATTCCTAGTTGCCAAAATTTACAGAGCAGAAGTTTCGCTACATTTTAATTTAATAAATTGTGTAAACATCTCTGTCTTTAGTTCTGAAACATGTTTATTGTCATCTCATGCACTGTTGCACACCCAGGACGCATGTACCTGTCTCAGATACCCTCTTTACTGAGGTTTCTGCTTGATTCTCTGAAGAATGAAGAGAAAGAGTCTGTAACTCGAGAAAACCTGCTTGCAGCGCTGCAGAAACTCAGCCTCAGGTATGCCATTTGTTAATAAATGTTAATAAAGACACAGACTGTAATAATGTGTTTTCAGTTTTTCCTGACTTTAGAAAAGTGTGTAAAACATGTTGAAATGTATCAGCTGCACCAAGAGAATTGTAAATATAATTAAAAAATGCACCAAAAACAAAGTAAAAAAAAAAAAGTTAATCGGTGGCATATCTGCGGCATATATGCCGATGCAGACATATCGGCCGATAAAATTGACAAAACTATATATTGCTCAGGCTCTAGAAATTATCCTTTTTTTTTTCACTCAAAAACTGAAGTGCATAAGCTCTGATCACTGAGCCATAGGATCAGTCAGTTCCAAAAATTATTACAAAAATTGTACTTGAAAGAGAACAAAATGACAGAGATTGAATCCAAGATTTGATAATATAGCACAACGAGAAATTTAAGCAGTTTTGAATGGGGAAAACCAAATTAGCTAAAGCATTTCCAGCACAACACATTTTAAACACCTCAAAAATGCCGGGTTTTCTGCTGTGTGCAGGCGAGCGCAGCAGTTTGCTATGATCAGAGATGGTCTGATTGGCTGGTTGGTCAAAGAGCTCCACGACTCAGACTGTCTGTCTGACTACACGCTTGAATATGCCATCTCCCTCCTCATGAACCTCTGTCTGCGCACTCAAGGTAACAGATGCACTGCCACAATGATCTAATAATAAATACCTGTCAAAGAAATAAAGGTATGTTTAAACAATTGCATTGTTGTTCATCAGCCTTTTTTTTTACTTAGTTTGCACTCTTTTATTTGCTTTGCTAAAGTAAACAGAGAAGTGTACTATAAGCAGCGCAGTGTTTACTGTAGTAAGTCTCACGTTTCAGGAAAGAAGAAATGCGCGGAGGAGGCCAAGCATGTCCTAAAAGTCCTGACGGAGCTCCTGGGACATGAGAACCATGAGGTAAATCAGTTATTGCTCAAGCACTATATGCCAAAACAAGGCGTGTTATTTGAGCTTGTTCACTGCCTTCCTGATTAGTGAATACCTGAAGGCGTCAATTAGCTTAGGCCTTTTTATGTCAGACGATTCTCAAATAAGAACGCTTTCGTCAACTTTGGATTTTAAAAGTTTGTCTTGCAAGTGTACCTTGAAGATTTCACTCCCTTTTTGAAACATTTGAAATGGAGAATCAAGCCTACACTATTATATTCCCTAATGAATTTGCTCAGCACCTCAAAACTAATTTTTAAAAATGTAAAAATTATATCTTTAAAAAAAGTTAAGCCCAGATTCTTAACATGATCTGAAACTCTTATTACAATAAAAGGTCAGCATACTTATAATATCCTTAGTTGCAGAAGAGGGTCCAAAGACAACACACTCCATCTTATTAGTATTAAGATGAAGAAAATTGCTTGCTAACCAGGCTTCAATCTTGATTAAGCACTGTACAAGTTCATCAAAGGATTGAGAGCCTTTTGGATCAATTGGAATATATCAATATATCATCTGTGCATAGATGATGCATAACATTATACTTATAAAAAAATGTAGCCTAATGGGCACATATACAACGAAAATAAAATAGGCCCAAGTATAGAACACTGTGGCACACCACTATGTAATTTAGCTCATGTAGAGCACAAATTCCCAATGCAAAACAAAAAAAAAACCTGTCCTTTAAATATGACTTAAACCAATCTAAGGCGGTACCCTTAATACTAACAACATCTTTCAAACGCCGCAATAAAATGCCATGCCAAAGCAGCTTTACAGTAATAAGCTAAAATATAACAGTGTTAATGTTGCAAAATTCATTTGTTATAAAGCAAATGACAAAAATAAATTAAAGTTCAGTTTTAAAGCAGCTCTACAGAAGACAGTAGTGTCATTTAGATCAGTTTAGTTTAATGCTTATTTAATTTAGTTCAATAACCGTTGTAAAGTTAATCAAATATGAAACAAAGTGTCATAACCGCATACAAAGTGTACAAAGCTTTTATAATCATACGTTTAGTTCAGAATGATTTTAAGATGTGTCCAAACTTTGGCTGGTAGTGGATGAAAGCGTCTGGAATGCTGAAGTTTCAAATGTTCATTGCATGTTTGTGTTCATGTATGCACATATAGATTCGGTACTATGTGAACGGAGCATTATACAGCATCTTGTCCATGCCAGAGATACGAGAGGAAGCCAAACAGATGGTATGTGTTTAATTACGGTTCATTCACAGGTGCACAACATCAAGATTATTGCTTTGACTCCTATGAGTAATACAAATCCAATTCATTGCATTTGCGATAACAGTCAAACCTTTCAAAGTTAAACAGTGATTTATGATGCAACAAATGAGAAGGTTATGTTGCAGAAAAAAAAAAAGTTTAATAGTTTGTTTAAAAATCCCAGAGGGAACACTAAACCATCCATAATCCTTAAGTCAAATCAGAAAAGTCACCGTCAAACAAAAATTACGCCCTTAATATATAAACCTAATATATATTTATATATAATACACTACTGTTCAGAAGTTTGGGATGTTTTTTTGAAAGAAATTAATATTTTTATTCAGCAAGGAAGCATTACATTTATGAAAATTAAGTAAAGATATTTATAATTTTACAAAAATGTTATATTTCCAATAAAAGTTGTTTTTTGAACTTTCTTTTCATCAAAGAATCCTAAACTATATATCTATATCTGTATCGATAACTGCATCTCTCTCTCTCTCTCTCTCTCTCTATATATATATATATATATATATATCCCTGTATATACACACACACATACAGTATATATACAGTATATACATATATATTAGGGGTGTAACGATACACATATTCATATTGAACCATTCGGTACGAGGCTTTCGTTTCGGTACGCATTACAAACCGAACGATTCGTTGGACTAATCGATCCTATTACATTTGGAAAATAAAAGAGCTTAAAGTGTGAAATATAATGTTCTCAGTGCCACTGCGCTCAACAAGACAGCCTAAACGGCGTAACAGGCAACGTGCTGTCTGCCCATAATGTTCTCAGTGCCACTGCGCGCAACAAGACAGCCCAAACGGCGTAACAGGCAACATGCTGTCTGTCCAGTGGCGTAGCGGAAGTGGCCCCGTGATAACCTCCCCTTGCTGGGGTGCATCGAAAGACAACGATTTTGTATCACGATAACCAGAGATATTGTCAAAAACATCAATTATTAGAAATATTAAGAGGATTTGGCATTTCCAATTAATGTAGGCCTGTTACATTCTTATTTTTATTAGGCCTATTATTATTATTATAATGAAGTTACTTTTATTATTAAATTAAAATTACAATTAATTTGCCCCGCAATAATTACCGCATAACTGACACGCTGCGAGGATAACAAAACATATTTAGCCTACTCCTCAATTAAAATGTTTTTAAAAACAGTCTTTTAAGGTGTGTATAAATGGATTATATGCCTATAATTAAAATATTAACACTGCAGTCATTGATAAAAATCAATGAAATAAAAAGCTTTTATTCCAATCACCGACTTTAAAAAACAACCTGTTTAACATGAAATACGTTTCTTCTCATTCCTTTTTCACTATGTATGGGCCACAAGAGAAATATTATGGGAATAAATGAAAACAGTTAGCTATATACCGTTATCAGCATATGTTGAAGTAGATTCGTCTCTGAGAGAGAATGCGGCGTCAGATGCCGAAAGCTCCGTCATTACTCCGTCAGTCCGTTTTTACTTTCTGCATATAGTGAATTGACTGCGATTAAGACATTCACCGGCATAACTCTTGCGCAAAGTTTGCACATTGCTTGTGTGATATACATTGGCTCGCCTTCATAAAACAGAAATATTTTGTTTCTATTTCATTGAGACATAACCAATTCGCCCCGTACCGAACATACCGAACCGAACCGTGACACCACTGTGTCGTACTGAACCGAACCGTGAATTTTGTGAACTGTTACACCCCTAATATATATACTATTGTACTTCAGATATTCAAATGTTCAAATGTTGTGATTCTTCTCCAAGCTTGTCTCTTGCATAATTTGTTTATTTTTTATTTTTTGGAATCCCTATGGAGAAGATAAACAAGAAAAATGCTGCAGGAAACAAGGCTGCTAAAAAAAAATTACAAATTATGGGTTGCTGTTGTGCTCCATGACTACAATCACATAATACAGAAAATGTGAGTATTTTGTTGTTGCATTTAGAGTATGGAGGAGATCTTACACTGTTACAGTAAAGAAGAAAATCCTGAACTCAACAGGCAGATTGAATTCATCATCAAACAGCTTAACTCGGGTAAGAAAAAAAGCAGTAAAAAATTGTTCACCTAAAAATTAAAAATAGATAATAAATCTGTCATCACCCTATTTAACCCATATAACTTTTTTCTTCCGTGGAACACAAAAAGTACAATTTTGAACAATATCATGGTCTCCTTTTTTCAGTAAAATAATGAATGAATGAATGAATGAAAACCAGGTTATCAGGTTCAAAAGGAACAAAAAAGCCCCATAAAAGTATCATAACCTTGGTCAGTATGACCAAATGAATCTTTGACTCTTTTTATAATGCTTTTATTATGGTTTTATGATTTTTTTTTTTCACCATTCAAGTTTACTGAATTGCAAATATTTGCCAGGATATTCCTCAAAAATATATCTGCTGCATTCCACAGTTTATTTCCCATATTTATGTCATTATTTTACTGATTCGTTTGTATTCATTTATGATTCTGCCATATACAGTGGACATCCTTGAACATGAACCCGAGTCAGATGATGAAGAGGATGACGATGATGATGACGAGGTAATTCACTTTAGTCATGTCTTCTATGCAAGATTATTGCTCAACCTGACTTCTGATTTCATATAAACTGTGTGAAAGGCTATCACTGTGATTTGCATTTTATCAGCAGTTTGATTGGCAGTTTCCCACTCAGTCCTTTGATCGAATTCTTTGATCTTGTTAACAGGAAGATGTTATGGAGGCAGACCTAGATAAAGAGGAAGTCCTGCAGCCTCAGCCAAAAGAGCTCAGCGGAGAATCTTTGCTGACAACAGAGTATCTCGGGGTAAACCATCACGCTACAGTATATTTATGATATTACGAAAGAAACCAGAAACTGGTCCAGAACTTCACATACAAGGGTATTGTAGGTTAAAACACGCAAATGATAAATACAAGAGGACTTTTCAAAGTCAATTTAATTTACTCACCCACAGGCCATCCAAGATGTAGTGGACTTTTTTTTTCTTCATTAGAACGATAAAGAAGATTTTTAGCTGAAACCGTGGTCCTTGGTGATTCATAAAATGCAAGTCAACAACTACCGTCGCTTTGAGTGTCAAAAAGGCATATACAGGCAACAAAATTCATACCTGTGACTACTGACGATATATTGAGGCCGTACGAAAGAGAAAACGATCAGTCTGTGCAAGAAACTGAACATATTTATAACATTATTACTTGTAATCCAGAGCCTCAGACAAGTCAGATTATTTTCCGCGAACTGATTCTTTCACACAATTTGTTTCAATGAACTGGATTCATTAACTACCGTCGCTTTGAGTGTCAAAAAGGCATATACAGGCAACAAAATTCATACCTGTGACTACTGACGATATATTGAGGCCGTACGAAAGAGAAAACGATCAGTCTGTGCAAGAAACTGAACATATTTATAACATTATTACTTGTAATCCAGAGCCTCAGACAAGTCAGATTATTTTCCGCGAACTGATTCTTTCACACAATTTGTTTCAATGAACTGGATTCATTCATTAGTTTATGTAATCAAACAATTACATAACATATATGAAATTATATTATTAAAGCACCCAATAATGATGTGAAATGCAAGTTTTTTACATGTCTAAAGCATATAAAGTGAATAAACTTTACTGGTTACTGGTTCAACTAGTTCATAAAAAAGAACCAGTTCAAAAGAATGATTCCTTTGTGGTTGATTTGTGTTGATTTGTTTGCGATGCTGGATGATCAGATGCTAAGTATCTTTATGATGCTTTGTAGATAATGACCAACATGGTGAAGATGAAGAGAAGATCATACCCTCCATCGTCTCGCAGCATAGATGAGCCCCTCCAGCGGCCCGTTACGCCCAGTTCCCACAAAAACAGCATGTAAGAACCTCTTTCTGAATGCCTGTTCACATCAAGAGGAATATTTGCTGCTATTCTAGAAACAATCTTATGCTTGTTTGTCACTTTAATGTAAAAAAAATAAATAAATTGTTTAGCATTATTTAAAATTGATTATGATAGTGGAATGGTTTTATAGATTCACTGCAAATCAAGATCCATCAAGTCAACCTATCTTTTTTTATTCATGTGACTGAGTTTAAAACCATCTTTCATGTTAATATTAGAATAATTCAGAAATCTTCCTTTAATGGACAGAGTTCTAATGAAATTTACTCATGCTCAAATATGGTTCATGTGCATGCCCTGTTACTTTAATAAATCCAGATGCACTAGTTTGATTCCTTGTTGGTATAGTAACCACTAATTGTTTAATATTTTTTTTACTAATTGAGGTCTTGTCATTGGAGGCATCTTAATTTGAGATGATTATACAAGATACTACCAACACAGTGACTCTTTTGCACGCAGCAGAAGTGCAAATGTGTCCGTATTCATCTTTTTCCTTGTCAATCCAAGTCAATAGTTTTGCCCTTAAGTCAAATAATGTTAATGTGCAAGCAGGATATACAAGACTCCATCCACACTTAGATAAATCCTCATTGTTTCTACTGAAGCGTATGGAATAGTGATGGGAATGACTGAAGACAATTGGTTGCGTGACTCTTACTGTTTTAACCTTGATGCTTTGAAATGTTATGAATGAAAGAACACAACATTGTGATTATGCCCTTGATTGGGTGAGAACTTATTTGAGCCATTGTATATGTAATTTATCCAAAACTTTGAATAATATAATAATTGGATAAGAAAATATACTACTATCTCTAAAGGACTTGGAGTAGACAAAGTTGAATGGATGCCATTTAAGCCTGGGGGAATAGCTAAAAGTTTGTATATAAATATACTTTATCATTGAATTTTAGGTTGTTGTTTTTTTTGTTTTGTTTTTTTTTACTAGTAGTTAGAGGAACCATCATTTTGCCATCACAGATGTTGTTTCTGAATTTCCTAAATGAATTTTCAGTGTTTCATCAATTGAATTAAAACAGATCCGGCGTGTCGGACATGGTAATGTATATTTGTACATGTGTATTTGCCTGTGCAGAGCTGGTGGTGATGGAGTCTATGCCATTACCCGTCAGAGAAGTGACGATAGCCCCACCCATTCTTGCTTTAGTTCCCGCCCACACACTCGCACCGGCAGCCGCCCCAGCACTGCTGAATCCATCCACCAAACATTGGGTATGTGTGCCGTCAACTGACAAATATTTAAATATGTACCTCAGCATGTCTTAATTTGCTTTTTCACATTGATTTACATCCTTTTTCATCCAGCTCAAAAGTTTTGTAATGTTATTTTACCTATTGTCCGATGTCATTGTTTTGTAACCCTTCATAAAGATACGATCACAGTTCCATCTTTAATAAATATTCAATGTTTCGCTGAAATGATTCAATTTCCGAGGACTTTAGCCTGGACTGTGCTTTCGTGGTCCTCTCACTTCCGTTCCAAGTGCACAGCCTGATGAAATCACTTCGATGTGGTTTCCAGTGCCTGCAGGCGAGGGTTTGTCTGAGAACGCTACCATCCAAGCACGATATCAGACAAAGCCTGATATGAAGTGCTGCAGTCGTGCATGTGTTAATGCCAAATGTCATAATTGGTTTCTCTGAAACATAGGTAATCATTTGCATAGGTGGAAAAAATTTTCAGCCCTGTTATGAACATTTAGGACCTCAAAATAAAGTTTAAAACTCTGATTTGGGTGATTGAAAAAAAGTAAATAATTAATATAATGCAACAAATTAAGTTAGCACAAGGGCTGGGTATCGAGTTTGATACTTTTCAGGCACCGACTGAATTGCCTCGATACCATTGAGTATCGAAAAACATCTTGTCGTTCGATACCAAACTTCGATACCTAAGAGGTTAATCTCGTCAACGTGAGCCAATAAGCCTGCAGCACTAGTGTGTTCGACCAGAACAACATTAAGTTAAAGTTAAAGACTGTCCATGGTGATCCAGGACGCTGTTCCAAATCCACCGCCCCACAGAACACCACTCACATAGTTTACCGTAAAATCACATTATATTTGTCTCAAATTATTGTTAATGTACATAATGACTTCATCCTAGGCTGGAAGAGTGTGTGTTGTGCATCTTTCAGCACAACGTTTGTCTTTCTCTCCGTATGCTTTATATCCACCTTTTTCTTCAACGCGAAAGTAAGCCTCTGGGTGAGACTTCCGGTTCATTAGCCACTATTGGGAAATAACGAGAAGAATAACAACGTGCAGTAAACGGTAAAACTATTTGCACTACAAACCAGTGTGTTCATAATTAAGATAATACATTAAAATAATATGGTAAGACACACCAATTTTCAATATCAAGCAGCAAAGGGAGAGATTTTGTACAGCTTAAAATAGCTGGACGCGGATGAGACCGAAAGCTAGACCCATAGAATTTACAAATGGCCGCGCCCATTTTTACAGCAAGAAAAAGGTGGACAGAGAGCTAATAATAGCCATAGATCACGTTTTCTTTTTCCGTTTGCTCTGTTTTGTCAAACACCGTATTTCAAACTCATCGACACAACTTTGTTAAGTCCTGAATTCAACTTTTATTTTAACTGTTTTATGTTAACTGTTAACTGTTAGACAAAGCGTGCAGTTTTCTAACGTATTTACTTTAACTTAGGTGATATCAATGGTGACATATTTCAGATGCATCCGAAATTACAAAAAAACATATATTTAATATTTGTATCAAAATTATTGCTAGGGACAATTTGGTAGTCGCTGGATATTGGTAGGGATATGTCCTAATTCTACAGCCCTGGTCCCAACCCCGATAGATGTAAGGCTACATTTGCACTGGTGCGTTTTTGTTTTTAAATGAAAACAATCCTCATCCATACTGGCGTTTGCACTGCATTTCAGAAAAGATCTCGGTCCATACTTCACGACCGAAAGCACGTGTTACGAGACCATTCATGCACACTGTAGCATCATGCTACATAAGACAATAAATAAGATTTATATTCCGCTTTTACGCAAAACTCACTTTAAACCACTATCTAGTGTTTGTAATAACTTCCGATTGCCGTCTAATGTGTGTTTTGGCCATGTAATGTTGAAATATGTTATTTCCTCTGAGTCAGAACAGCGCTTGTGGAAAAGAAAACAGGCAGACAGACAGTGCTAGAAGCTGCTAATGCTCATCAGTAAATAAGTGGAAAATGAATAGAAATTATGATTCTGTCTGAGATATGCGTTTTAAAACAAATATGCACTAGTATAAACGTAACCTAACAGATGTGTAAACTGAAAACTATTTGAACTTTATTAAAACTATTTGCACTTATTTATTGTGTTGGTTACATTTTGTTCCTTTGTGCAGTGGCTCAGGTCTTTGAGTCTTTATAAAAATCAACAAGCTGAAAAATAAAACCGTTTTTTATTTTTTTAGATAATGTAATCTTGTTAAAATTGATTTCATAAAATTGGTATCGAAAAAAAGTATCAAGAACTGGTATCGAAGTCAAGGAAATTTTTGAACGATACCCATCCCTAGTTAGCACAAATAGTAAAGCGGGATTGTTAAAATAATTAAAAATCTCACAATTTAAGGAGAAAAAAATTACTTTTTTGATAACTTTGGTAACGGTTGAGTATTTGATTTTCTTTGATAATTTGGTAACGGCTAAATGTTTGGTCATTATTTTTACATTTTGGTAACAGTTGAATGTTTGATCGCTTTAATAACTTTGGTAATGCCTGAGTATTTGATCTTTAATTTTTGATACAGAGCTGAAAGTTGTTTTTAACGACTATGGTAACAGGGCTGGATGTTTGGTAATTTTTATAACTTTGGTAACAGGGCTAAATGTTTGATAGTTTTAATGACTTTTGTAACAGGGCTGAATCTTTGATTGTTTTAATGACTTTTGTAACAGGGCTGAACCTTTGATTGTTTTAATGACTTTGGTAACAGGGCTGAATCTTTGATTGTTTTAATGACTTTGGTAACAGGGCTAAATGTTTGATAGTTTTAATGACTTTGGTAACAGGTCTGAATCTTTGATTGTTTTAATGACTTTTGCAACAGGGCTGAATCTTTGATCGTTTTAATGTCTTTGGTAACAGGGCTGAATCTTTGATTGTTTTAATGACTTTGGTAACAGGGTTGAATATTTGATAATTTTAATGACTTTGATAACAGAATTAAATGTTTGATGTTTTAATAACTGTGGTAGAGGCTGAACATTTGATTGTTTTAATGACTTTGGTAACAGGGCTAAATGTTTGATTGTTTTAATGACTTTGGTAATGGGGTTGAATGTTTCATATTTTAATAGCTGGTAACAGGGCGAAATATGTGATTGTTTTAATGACTCTGGTAACAGGGTGGAATGTTTAATCGTTTTAATGACTTTTGGTAACAGAGCTAAATGTTTGATTCTTTTAATGACTTTGATAACATAATTAAATATTTGACGTGTTAATAACTTGGTAAAGGCTGAACATTTGATTGTTTGAATGACTTTAAAATTATCAAACATTCAGCCCCATTATCAATGACTATAGTAACAGGGTTGAATGGTTGAACTTGGCAAATGTGGTCAGTGCAGGAAGTACATATATAGGATTGTTTGTTTTGGTGCTTTAAAAAGTCATCAGACAATTTGTAAGCTATTTGTGCATTGACAGTAAAATGGATGGTCCTGGTTCTACAATCTGATTGGATGAGCCATGTTCAAAGCTGTTTGCAGTTACAAACACCAACAATAATGTGCAATTTATACAAAAAAAATATAACAGAATCAGTTTTGCGAAATCTCTTCAAAATGACTTTCCTCTCATTGCTCTTTTTTTAGCCTTTGTCTTAGCAATTATATTGTATCAAATTATGGGCACCTGTTTCATTTATCTCTCAGGGGCTTTTTTCTTTTAGCAGATATTCTTGTTCAATTTCCTTACGAACAGTAACCATATCACATCTCTCCTAGACCACTTTGCATTTCCTTGTGAAAGTGAACAGCTCTCAGGTCCTTCACTGTGGCGTGTGTGTGTTAATGATGTCAGCCGCATGTGAGGTGTTTGTGACATCTTTTTGTCTTTCTCCAATCAGCAACCGATTCGGAATGCTGGCGTTCCTCTGTGGAGTCAGGGCTCATGGGGTCCCTAGAAAGACGTGTACCTCCACCAGGCCCGAACAACACAAACGGCCACTCATACAGGTAGATTTGATGTCCATTGCGTGTATTTTTAGCCCAGCATTACCCGTCTCCGGATCTTCCACAACTATGGTACCTTACCAAGAGGTTTAAGGATCCGGGTGCGACATTCCACGCTCACTGTGGCAAGGCATATCTAAAATGTAAAGGTCCACAGGGATCCACTGTTATCAAGCGTGTCACAGGCTGTAACTTGGCTCTGGAATTCAGCAAGCTGGAGAGAGATCAGAGGAATTTGGGGGTCGGAGCGAGGCATCGAACCTTGAGTCAGCAATGCCACAGGACAGACTTTTTCATGAGAATCAAACAACTGTTAAACAATGAGCTGATTCAGGTCCCTTCCTTCCCAAATCCCTGTCCAACCTCACTCCTGGAGATCCATGGATGTAATAACCCTGTGAACACACGTGCATCACATTTTATTGTATAAAGCTATAATTTTAACCTCATCCAGAAGAAAAACAAATTGAGCATATGAGGTGAATTCTTCATGGTCTTGTTTATTTTGTAAGGCCTGAAACATGTAAATATAACAATGCAAACTTGTCTTAGGGGCCGTTCACACTGAAAATTGTTTTGCATTTGCATTGTTTTTCTACGGAAACATGCGCTAGATGGATGTGTTTGACCACTGTGCTTGTGTCTTTTGTCTTGCATTTTTTTTGTAGCATTTTTTTTTGCATTCCACTTAGGGCTGAACGATTAATTGCATTTGCGATAGGGTTGCACGATATATCGAAATATCGCAAATGTAAATATCGCAATATGCATATCGCAACGGCAAAATTAGTGTCATTAATTTTTTTGTTTGTATGTTCACATTGATGTGCGCCTCAGCACTAAAAGAGCATTTTCCTGAAAGAGCAATTTCTCTAAAAGAGCTCCACGGGTGCGTCTTTGTAAAGACAACGGATCGTCTTTTTAAAGATGCCGTTTCACCGGTGCGTTTCTGGATGTGGTCGTTACCTGGCGCTGGGTGATGGTCACGATCGTTGCCTCATGTGTCTGGGCATTAAACACGCTGAGGTGGCGTTCGCGGATGAGTCATGTTCCCATTGCGGGAAAATGACCATCTCGGAGCTGCGGGCCAGGCTCAGTTTCCTCCAGGGGGGCAGAGCTCCGTTGCCTCTGCCGCGATCTATTGAGGTCATGATTCAGAAGTTCTAAAAGAGCTCCGAAACGCTACTGACCTCGCACTGACCTCGCGCTCCTAGCGACGAAGGTCACCGCGAGTTCTCTAGGTCGTACGATGTCCACACTTGTGGTCCAGGAGCGCCATCTCTGGCTGTGTCTGGTTGATATGAGGGACGCCGACGAAGTTCGGTTCCTTAATGCCTGTGTCCCAGACCGGCCTCTTCGGTGACACGGTCGAGAGCTTGGCCCAGCAGCTCTCGGCTGCACAGAAGCAGACTGAGGCGGGTCGTCACACCCTGCCCTGGCGGGCAGCTGCTGCCTCCACCCATCCACCGGCTGCAGTGCCCCAGCCTGCTCGTCGCCGAGGGCGGCCCCCTGCGTCTGCCCCTGCTCACGTGCTGCATCCGCAGCAGCCTCCAGCAAGCGACGCCGTAGAGCTGGGCGTAGGTAGACCACCCCACCCGTCCAGGCCCCAGTCAAACCTGGCGATGAGCAAAAGAGCAAGAGGTCCTGGAACGGGTGACCCAGAGAGGGAGGAAGCTGCTCTTTGGGGGATGGTGAAGGCACCTCTCCCTCCCCCAAACGGCCCAACACCGGACCTCACTCATCCTCCTCCTTCGTCAGCCGGCAGCAGCAGGCGGTTCAAGAGCGTCAACAAAGGCCCTACTCACGCACCCTCTGCCAACTTGTGGAACCAGGTAAGCGTTGCACCGCACACTCAGACCCCTCTCCGGTCCGCTCACAAGCCGCCCGAGTTGGGTCACTGGGTACGGCGGTGGTTCCATTGGTCCTGCTTGCACGGTATCTGGGTGCCTGACTAGCGCTACCCAGCTCGTCTCGCTGGCTTCTGCAGTCCATCAGCCTCGGCTATGCGATTCAGTTCGCCCGGCTGGTGCTCCGGCGCCTCAGCATGTTGGGTCTCCGGGTCAACTGGGAAAAGTTAACTCTCCCCGACGCAGAGGATCTCTTTTCTTGGTGTGGAGTTGGATTCGGTCGAACAGACAGCACGCCTCACAGAGGACCTGCTTGTATTTGTTCAAGGGCAGGACAGCGGTCCTACTGAAACTATTTCAGAGGCTCCTGGGGCATATGGCCGCTGCAGCGGCACTTACACCGCTAGGGCTATTGCATATGAGACTGCTTCAGCACTGGCTTCATGGCCGAGTCCCGAGGTGGGCGTGGCAGCGCGGCACTCACCGGGTCCAAGTTACACTGGCCTGTCGCCAAGCCTTCACCCCGTGGTCAGATCTTACATTCCTTCAGGCAGGAGTGCCCCTAGAACAGGTCTCCAGGAATGCTGTGGTTTACACTGATGCCTCCACCACCGGCTGGGGGGCAACGTACAACGGGCACGCAGTGTTGGGGGTTTGGACGGGCCCCCATCTGCACTGGCATATCAATTGCCTAGAGTTGTTAGCAGTGCGCCTTGCCTTGAACCGTCTCTAAGGGTGCTTATGGGACAAGCACGTGCTGGTCCGAACGGACAACACAGTTACCATTGCGTACATCAACCGACAAGGTGGTCTGCGCTCCCGTCGCAACTCGCCTGCCACCTCCTCCTTTGAAATCAAAAGGTTCTGAGGTCACTTCGTGCCATTCACATTCCGGGCCTGCTTAACCGTACGGCCGACGAGCTGTCTTGAGCTACTCTCCCGGGAGAGTGGCGACTCCATCCCCGGACGGTTTGCCTCTCCAGAAACCTCTCACTGCCAGTTGTTCTACTCCCTGACTGAGGGAACACTCGGCACGGACGCACTGGCACACAGCTGGCCGCGGGG